GCGCGCGCGCGCGTGTGTGCGTGTGCGTGTGTGTGTGTGTGTGTGTAATGTCGCAAAATTTATTATACGATACAGTTGTATGAACCATACGCGTATTTTAAAGCCTAATGGCTCCCATATACAAGACGTACGTAGCAACGCTTGCCGTGTGGTAAACAAAAACGACGTATGACGCCATTTATGTTTTTTCTTAATGAATATCTTTTGCTGTGCGGAAAATGTTGAATTTGATTCAATTTTTAATATGGTGTATGTGTAGAAGCCTTTAATTATCTAATACATTTATTACAATAACAAGAAAATATCGTCAAATATGAAATACTTTGAAACAAATCTTTTCAAGAGTCGCGATAAGATATACGTACATTACATGCAAGGTTACGATAAAATGCTTTGCGCAACTACGCTCATAACACATGAAAATCGCGTTATGACGGATTACTACAGTCGCCCGTAATAACGAATGTATTAAACTCATTACAATATTATTCTAAAGTACGAAATATTAAACGTTTCCTGTAAAATATATGCTTAAAAATTGTGTAATACTTACGCGACATTTCGATGTTGCGCCAATCACAAGTATGAAGTTGTCACAAATTGAAGTTGCACATTAACGTATTGCCACCCTTGCGCCACCCCTACGCAGTAACATGTCGCGCTAGTTACCGCGAAATTTGAATACCGCTAAAGAATGAGTAAGAAGGTAATAGTAAAGAAAAAGAAAACACACAATATATCATATAATAAGGAGACACAGTAATGTCTCCCGTAAAGTACATGTTATGTATTTATAATGACTTGCGATTAAGGGCGCGTGATAATAAATAAGCGGCGCATATAAAATTAAATATATTTACATCAGGAGATGGTACAAATTGTGAAATGCTAAATGAGATGAGCCATAGTTTATTCAAAGAGGAAGGTTGAATATGTTAACACAGTAAATGGATTTTGATCAAGAAAAAATTACTAGTAAAATTTAGCGTTTGATCGATTGTACTATAAGTACTAGAATTGAACATCCAGAAGTCAAAGAGTCATGTAGCCGAACAGACTGAGACACGCTGTGTTCACTTTCATACAGCCGATGATTGACGCGAGTTCGATCCCCGTAATAAAAATTATTTAAAAAAATTTTTTTTTCTAATATATAATTAATTTACCATTTTCTTTTATGCAAAAATACTAATTCCAACACAATTTTCGTTATAAATAATAATAAATATCAGCTTAAAAAATTTTAATTATTTATTATAACATTTTGACTTTATCAAATAATTTTATGGATGAAAATCAATGTAGAAACATTTAAAATACAAGTAGGACAAACATTTTATAAATAAAATATTT